ATAGATGGATGGATGGATGGATGGATGGATGGATGGATGGATGGATGGATGGATGGATGGATGTATGGATGGATTTCAAGGTAGATAGAAAGATGGAGATAGATTATAATTTGGCAGAGCCTGAGAGCAGCCAAGATGTCGTTTGGCCAAGCTTAGGTTGAAGTCGCATCAACAAACCAATTATAAATGTGCCATAAAAGAGGCCTAGCTTGCTCGTGGCTGTGTGGGATAGGGGAAATGTGAATAAAAACTGGATTTTTAAGAATCTCTTAGTGATATATTGTGACATGACTCTCCATTTTGTGTGGAAGTGTACCTCAAATGGAGGCAACTTGAGACAGACTGGATCCTTATAGGATGCCTTGGTTTGACCTAACTAGAAGTATATAAGAGAATTTTCTAGATGATGGTGAAGATGAGATGATGAGAGATTGGGAAATATTTGTGCGTTTTTATTTGGAATTAATTATAGCACCCTGTACAAAGTGGTATTCCTGTTGCCATGTGGATTTCGGTCTAAGGGTAAGGCCAAACTACTTTGTTCTTTGAGTTTTGTCATGGGCACATATTAAAATAAATCTCATCCAGTTCTTTTTACTAGCTCATTGTAATCGGGAGATTATTATAAATATGCGTCCCTGTTCTGAATATGTCTATAAAGCAGCAGATAAAAACTTATCAACTATGAAGAAAAGCTAGGTTTATAAAAGTTCCATAATACGCAAATGTTACTCGCCTGTTCATTTCAAAGAAAAAATTGGTTAGAAAGACTTCTTTAATTGGCATCACAAGAAACTGGATGAGTGAAGACCTGCAAAGGGAATGTTGGATTGTGCGAAGAAGTCCTCGGCTCACCGTCCTGCGAGTTCGATGAATCCACGCTAAGCCTTCGTCCGTCGTATGACAAACCACTTTAGGAATTCCTTATAATCAACTCGTTGAAAGCCTATAATTATATCACAGTTGCCAAGGAAGTGAGTCCCAAAGGGATCCGCAGTCGTCTTTGACGAGACGACTTAATTCGAAATGAAGTCAATTCAACAAAGATACAACAAGAGGCTCCTCGAAAACCTGTTTCTCAACAGTTCCCACATTTTCTCACTTTAATTTTGTGATCCTCCTTTTGCGATTGTCTCTGGGTGGGGAGAGTATTGCAGTAATTCCTATGATCGTCACCCCCCTATATTATTTCCCCTATGAACAACTGCTGATTTGACAACTCCTTTAGTTTCATCTGCACTTTGTACTTGAAGTACAACCTAAGGCTGGCCGGACAACTGTCATTTTTGGTAACTATTTCAAATCATTCTTGCATTAGCGACACAAGCGCTCCCTGCAGCGTCCTTTTTCTCGCTCCCAGACGCTTCTGGTAGCGTGCACATATTTCTCATATTTTCATCTACATTCTCGTAAATTGGTCACTAGTCCGGTTACATTTTATGCAGATTGCAACTCTTTATGACCCCAACATCAAAGGTTTGTGGGCCCAACAATGAGTAATAGGCGAACACACACTTGACATAAGGCACCAAATAGACTTGTTTTAAATAAAACTATTTGCAGGGTAAGGAGAGTTCACAAGTTACTTGAACGTTAGGGAGACCATTGAAATAAACAAAATGGTCAATAGAAGATTTCTAGTCACGCTACATAGCCTAAGGTGATGAAGGACCTCGGCTTGAACCTTCCGACAATGTTATTAAATTTAACCAAAACTTTCATCCATTTTGCAATAGCAAGAATGTATTTGTTTCAGATGAGGATACAGATGTCCGGTCACAACCGCATTCCATTCGCACGACATCTACAGCCATTTTACATGACACCCACATCCACACCACTTATCCGCAAGCATGTGAGGGAAATATGAAACAGAACAAGCACATTCTTTTCGGCAAGAATCTTTCCTGGTTGCTGATGCCGAATGCATGGAACACTGGATCCGGGATCACCTCGCTGCATTCGTCCTGCCGAGCTTGTGAGTACACTTCAAATCGCCTTGCCTCTAACCTCTTCTTCATCTGGCCCTTCGTCCTTCCACGTCGCTTCTCATTTGTTGCCACCATCATTGGTATGTCGAGCAAGTTTGCTTCCCCACCATCCAGCTTGCTCGTTTCTTGTAGGAGCTTTAAAGCATACACTAAAACTCTAAACGGGATAATACTAATTAAAAGTTTTTTTCTACCAATCCATATTGTTTACGTCATTCACGACCCGAGTGAATACTGGGTTACAGTGGTTTGCTCCGTAAATTAATGAAAATCCCTAGTGCTGAATAACTTGCTTTAATATTGTCTTTCACTCTGCAAATATCCGTCGCTAACGCTCCACATGATCAATGTCCTACCTTCCTTCTTGAGTTATTTTCACGCCTTTAAAGCCCATCTTCGCTCAAAAGTTCAATTTTCGTGGCTCAAGTAAACCTTTGTCTTGCTTGACGCACGTAGTTTCAATTAGGATGGCCCGAGGTAAAGTGTGGTCAACGTAAGAGCTCACGCAACGCGTCACATGGCGTTACAATACGTTACATGCCATTGTCCCCTAAAGGCTAGCTTCATGTGCTTGGACACATGAGAGGGTCGAATGATGCCTCTAGCATGGCATGTATTGTGAGATTACCATCACTTCGCGTAAA